CAGTCTAGCTCGTAACTTCTCACAGAGAGAATCTATGTGAAATCTCCAGCATAATCTATTGTCTATAATTAGTCCTAAGTAAGTGTGATGCATTACTTGTTCTACTGCCTCACATTTACAAGCGTTAGATGAAGTTGATTTGTGCAGAGATCTGTGACTGTGAGCAACGATCTTAAAATACATGTTGTGTTTTAGATAGCTTGAGTGAACGTGAATCACTTTGGTTTTATTTGCATTCAAGACAAGTCCCGCATCATGTGACCATTTGGATATCTGTGTAAAATCCTGCTGCAGCCGTTTAGCTGCTTCTTTTAGATCGTTGCTGGCCGCCAAAAGGCACGTGTCATCTGCGTAATGATAAACGGAACAATGGTTGACAATATGCTCCATATCGTTGACGTATGCTAAATAGTGCCAGGGTCCAAGCACCGACCCTTGAGCTGTTCCTTCAGTAACATTTATAGGGTCGCTGACTTCACAAATTTTAACTTTATATTTTTTTTTTTTAAAAAAAAACACCCTATTTGCGATTATTGATGTAATCTTTGAACCAATCTAAAATTGGACCGCATACACTGGTATTCTCTAGTTTTTTTAAGAGAATATCGTGTCGAAGCGTACAAACACTTTGCTGAAGTCTACGAATAACAGAATTACGTGGTTTCTGTTATTTAGATATTTGTTTACATCATTTGTAAATTTTGACAGCAGTTTAGAGGTAGATTTGTTAGGTTGAAAACCGTATTGTGAATTTGAAAGGATGTCATTTTTAATGTAAAAGTCTTGTATCTGATTACAAACGTATTTTTCTACTATCTTGTCAATGACTGGTAGGATAGTAATTGGTCTATAGTTGGCATAATCACTGTGACTACCTTTTTTATATATCGGTCTCACAATACCTATTTTTAATTCATCTGGATACTTTGCTTGGCCTATACTATTATTTATTAATTTAACAATAAATCCTATCATCTTATCACAGATAGATTGTATGTCGACACATCGGATATTAATCACACCAGGAGCTTTGGTTTTAAGATTTTTTACAATCTTCGTCACACTTTCATTTGAGGCTCTTTTAAAATACATCGATTTATTTTCGGGGAACATATATTCTGATTCATCTAGAAGCCGTTGGTTACATTTTGGCAGGATTTTTTAACACAATTTCTAAATTCTTTTGCAAAGTTATTAGCTATTGATTTTGCGTCAATATTATTCTTATTAAATGTTTTTAATATTGCCTCATCAACTGAATTTTTGTTTCGACCAGATAGTGTATTCAAAATTTGCCATAGATTTCTAAGATTCATTTTATTACTATTTATTTGTTCCATATAATATTTATTTTTTCACTTTTCTATTATTTTACGTGTCTTATTCCTTAATTTATTATACTCTAATCTTAGTATTTTGTCTGTAGGATCATTTTTCCATTTAATGTATAAATCGTCATTCTTTTTACACATGCTATTAATTTTACTATTTATCCAGGGGTCTTTATTTCTATTACTTATTTTATTACTTTTTTTGATATATTTTGAATCATTGAATTTATTTTTGATGCAATTGTAAATTTTATTCGCATACTCTGTATCTCTGACTTCGTTCCAATCTAGATTATTGAGTAAATTTTTAATTTTATTATTATCAATCCGTTGAATTATTTTTGTATCACTATGTATTTGTGTTTTTGCCGGATCCTACACACGAGAGTATAATCATGCGATGGTCAGCCAATACAGTTCTGAGCGCGTACGAGTAAAAATGTGATCTATGCAACTGCGAGTTGTTTCCTTACCGCGTATTTCAATTCTTGTGTAATCGGATATCAAGCTTGTTAGACCTCTCTCGGACATACTACTAATATAGTAGTCTCGGATGTTGTCGCATGTTTTTAAGTCTATGTTAACGTCGCCTAAGAGATAAGTGTCACATAGTTGAAACATAGATTTTGATAATAGGCTACTTATTTCCTATACAAATAGGTGCTTACTCTCACTTGGTAGTCTATAAACAGCACGGATGTAAGCGGAGTATTTGTAAGGCGTAGTGATCTTACCGATAATAATCTCACAGTGTATTAACAAGTGACTTACTGGCGCGAATGAGTGAACATCTTCATCACACACATCATTCATCATCAGAATTATACCACCGCCTTTTCTATTTTTACGCAACATACTGTGCATTCTATAGCCATTAATATTAAACATAGAAACTATATTGTTATTTATGTTTACTTCGCTTAAGATTAAAATATGAAAATAAGATTAAATAATTTTTGCTATGTAACACAATTAATTAATTCTTCTAAAATGATTACTGACATTTTAGAAGAGTTAATTAACCCTAGCTCACTAACGTTAATTTCAAGTAACGTTATCACTAACCATTCGTAACTTTTACGACGGATTAAAACATCAATAATTATTTATATAATCAACTTTATTTATGACACGACCTTTATTAGCAGTCTTAGTTCAATCGAAATCAAATAACATAGTCTGTTTTGGAAATAAGCTACACTGAACAATGATTGCACATGGAAACAATATGCTCTCTGCAAATCGCTTTTTTGCAGCCCTTAAAGAAGTTAGTGGTCATAAGGCATTTCTTTGCAGGACAATAGCTGCAAATTTTGTGGTTTCTGGGAATGTCTTGACTAGAACCTTCCTGATTATCATAAACATTCAAGATCTCCGTGATGATGTGCTCCAAATTTGTTTGCAAATTTACAGTCCGACATCTCTCTTTCAGCCAAGGCTTCATCAATTCGTTTGCCATTTCTAATGCAAAAGGCCTCCTTTTCATGTTATTTTTTTCATTTCGGATCGCATTCGAGCTAGGCTCGCCATAATAACGACTTATTGGCTTTGGTCAGGGCGCGTCGTTTGCTCACCCATCCACCTTCCTTTTTCGAGGCTCGCACCTATAAGCTTACATTTTCTGCATGCTTGAACTGCACCTGGATGTTTCCATCTTGGTTATTTCGACCTTCTACACATGTAATATTCACTACCAGCGTCCTGTCCATGTTGAGTGCCTCAGCTAGTTTGAGAGATATGTTTACAAGGTTTTCGTCTTTAGCTTTAGGAATACCTATCACTTCTATCACATTATATAACCGCTGTTGTTCAATATCAAGTAGATATTGTTTCAGTGAGCTCATTTCAAGCTCAAGATGGGTTTTTTCGTTATGAAGGTAGTTATACTTCTAATTCCTGGATATGTTTGTTTTGAGCTTCCACAATTTTGGAAAGATCATCAATTTTTGTACAACAGAAGCTCACTGATGCTTCGATTGGTTGAAGTTCTTTCTTTAAAACTTTTTTCATTTCTGCTGTTATATCTTTTAAAAACTTCTCTGTGTCTATCATACAATTGCCTGAGTTATTGTCAGAGACCGCGACATCATTGTCGTCATCGTCTTCTTCCGGAATAATGAAGGATGACTTTCTGTTAGGTGTATTCTGATGGCACTCTTCGCATGTTCAGTCTAGTCTGTCCGCATTACGAAGCGCAGATAGTTGCTTCGCGTTGAGACCAGAGCAAGCTTTACTAGCATGAACCAGCTTGCCACAGGATCTGCATTCCAGTCCGGGTACCTTTGTGGTTATCCCTTTGTTACAGATGTCACATTTAGTCATTTTCTTTTCGTATTGAAATTTTATTTAGGAGGGTAGTTACCAAACGTATAGAAAAGTGTTAACACAGAACCGACTCACACAGCAGCGCGAGAAAGAATGTATATACCCTCGCTCTGATCCCAACACCAGTTTTATTATATTATTCTTAGAATAGCTTATGTCTATAAATGAACTCAAAAAGCACTTCGAATTACCACTAACACTTTTATTTTTAGCAGCCAATCAAACAACTTATTATTTTGTAATGTACTGTTTTTTGTAAATAAAAAAGGTGTGGACAATTATTTATCAGTGCTCGTAAATTTATAAATAAAACATAATGTAATTCACATCTCCATTTTTAGTGTATTAAGTAGTATTTCGTTATATATTTTAGCTTGGTGGTGACGCATTGCGTCCTTTATAGTTTGGGGTCGTAAAGGTTAAAATAAGCCTAATTCTATAATGTTTTATAATTTTCAGTCCCATATAATAACGGATCATGTAATTTGGGTTACTAACTATAATATAATATTTTCCAGGGAACACAAATACCAAAATAAAAAAGCAAGTAATAGTAGTAAGTAGGTTACGTAAGTTTTATCATATGATCAAATATTATTCAATTTTTTTTCCAACAGCATTACATAACATGTAATTCAGTTTTGCAATGTGATATTTCATTTCTCTACTCAAATCTTATTACAAAATATAATATCATAATAATAGTTACAATAAATCCTCCCACAATTATAAAAGATGTAGCTGTGAACTGTTTACTGACTATTTAGATTATGAAGTGGAAGATAAAAAAGCTAAACTAACGTTATAACAAATCAAGTACAGGGGAAAATTATAAGAAATCATCATTATTTAAATTTAATATAAGATAATTTAAGTGCATTCGCCTGCACGTCGTGCACCCTATTGATTTACAAATTAGACAGTGGCGACACTCATCCATCGAGAATTTCTACACCCAGCTTTCACAGATTAGTGAGGAGGGGCATTGCCTGTATAAGGGTCATCAACTACGCTTATCAACCCAACTTGGTGTATATGGGCAAATTTTTCAAATAAGACCTCATTGGGCGCATGTCTAAAACAGTTTACATTCAGCAGTAAATTCAAAAAGCTAAGTTAATAGAAGACGTCAAATTTGACGACTTAATTCTAACGACCTACTTAAAACAATATCCTTATAAACTTTTTTATATTAGTCTTCTTTAAATAGTTTGAAGCGAAAAATTAAAACATAGTTCATATGAATATAAGAATATGTTTAGTTTATGTTTCCTTTAGTTATTCTCATACTATTATTTTGTTATATGTACATATATTCTGCAACAGATCATGTTTAATACGTACCATCATCAGTTTTGAAGATATCAACATCGAGCAGCATAGAGCATTCTTCATTAGTGAGCAGGCCGCTGGCCGAAGCCAGTGACCAATCCCATGCGCTTGTATTCATAATCAGAGTTGCTGTTAGTAATCTGGAAAGCAATAAAAAATAACGACATAAGATGATAAGTTCAAAACAGGTATGAACTCAATTAGTGCATTTCAATTATTCTAAATTTGGCTACATTGTAATTTAAAAAAAAACTTCTTTGTGAAATGCTGTTTTGAGACCGCGATTACAAACTTTTAAAAGATTTTTATAGTACATAAAACATCAAGTTTTACTTTTCCAGTATAACTAACTATAAGTAACATTTTCATTGTATTCTATATTCTTTTAAAATACATAAATTTCAAAAAGACAAACATCTAGATCCGGAACAATAATTTGTAGGCCATACAAATACTTATTCCGTGTGGGATTCGAAGCCGCGGCCGTTAGCTCTGCAACTAATTGTTAGGCCGCTGCGCCACGGAGCCGTTCTCTTATGTTTGTATCACTATGTTTGTCATACAAAAAAAGGTCATATATGTTCTAAATATTTTATGAAAACTTAGTACCAATTGAATTTAATTGTTAATAGTATTTTAATACTGTTTAATGTAATTAATCTAAAGAAAACAAGAACTAAGTTTTAATCTTATTTTTTTTAAATAAGGTGTTTAAAAACAAGCAACAACTTACATTTTCTACAACTTTAAATGATTTCATAAAGTTTTCTCCCACAGTGAAACACATACTATTAAACAGTAAATAACTGTATACATACCACTGAAATAAATACAAGCTGGTGCGGATGGTGAACCAATAGAGATGGTGATAGTGGTTGAGGGACAAAGCTGTCCGTTGAGGGCGCCATCTTGGCACTGAAACACAAATATGTTACATATTTATATTGATCCATTAATCTGTTCTGTTAGTAATGTATATCTCTTTCTGCTACTGTTTAATAGCACACTGTCCTGAAAACCGGTAAAAATCAAGCCATACAAAACTTGGCATGAGACAGCTAACAGAAAAACCATCTCTAAATATTCTGAAGGTCGGGGAACGCAGTATTGGCTAGTACTGTAATGGCTTATCATAGTTATAGGACAGTATAACTTTCTTTAATAGATTTAAAAGACGATTTAAGGAACTGCTATGGAGCCTGCCACCCATCCATTAATAGCTCAACCCCCTTATCGCCCTTCAATTTGTAAGAGGATTTTAGTGTTTTTTTTTTTGTTAATTAGCTATAAAACCATTATTAAACCTTTTAAGACCCAATTAATCAATATAACATTTTTCAAAACAAATTGTAATTACAAACAACCATAAAATTACAACAATAATATACAGGGTTATTCTGCAATAACCGGCCAAATTTCCAGAGAAGGTTCAGGATAAGTAATATAGGCAGAAGGTGAAGAAAATTTATTTAAAAAAAATCTCAAACTATCACTTCTTTTTATCTTTTAAATTCAAAATGTGTGGCAACGCATTATTTTAAGTGATTTTACTGCACCCGCACACATTCAGAAAGGTCGATTGGTAGGCAAAAACATTGCCAAAAATCACATTCAGTTTGGGATAGTATCAAATAAAAGAGAAACCTTATCTATTCATATTTTCAAACACTGCAATAACAGTATATCATTATTTATATATTTGAACCTAAGTTTAAAATTTAGTAACTCTTTGAAAAATAACCTTGTATAGTATCTTAATTAACTTACAGAAAGTGCCTACTGTACTGACAAATTCAATTTCAATTAATGACATATATAAATTACTAGCTAGCATTCGGCGTGTTGCTGCTGTAGAAGTACTTATGGAAATATCGTTTTAAAGTTAAATTATTTAATTAGGAGTAGTATGTAATACATTAATTGAAATTGAATCTGTAATATTATAAGTGAATAAGATGATAAGTTATTACCAACGCCCATGAACAACTGCAACACCAAGAGAAGTGCAGATGTGTTGGCGGCCTTTTAAAGAGTAGGCTCTTTTCTTGAAGGTCTCTAAGTCGTATCGGTCAGGAAAAATCTCTAGTAGTATTCGATTCCACAAGGAAAATCTTAATCTAATATAACACTTGTTTTGTGCATTGTGCGTTAAATCGGACAGTGGTGGACTGCCAGTGATTAAGATGGTATGGATGATATTGCGAGTTATGTCGCGATGTGCGATGTCAAAATTGTGCGGCTGGAATTGTCCGAACAATTCCTCAGAGCGCTCCCCATGGTAAATGCGATAAAATATGCAAAGGGATGCAATATCTCTTCTAACCTAGCCTGGCCAAGTCGGGATACCCTAAGTCCCGAGCTCGCGTAGCTTGATCTTACTCAATAAAACACCAAAATATTAACTTTTATAACTACTTTAAATTATAAACAATTTATAGCTACAACCATTTGTAAAAAAGGATCCAGAGGGGTAGCGAAGTCGTTCTAAAACAGGCGGAAGCAGATAAAAATGTTAGGGAGCACATTCAATCTACAATACACAGTATAAAAATACACTGGAGAGCACACATTCATGCAAGAAGAGCAACCAACGGCGATATGCATAAAAATTTCTTCTTCTTCTTCTTTCTTTTGTGGCGGTTTGATAAAATTCGCCAATGACGTATTGAGTAGAAAATGAAAGCTTATGAGTTTAATTAAAATAAGAGTCTGTGATAATACAAGGATTCAGTTTTCCTCCGAGAATTTTGACAAATCTATTTGTTGAATTACCTAGAACAAATATGACAAACACAGGTGTTAGACTCTTACCCGTTTGTTAAAAGTGACAAGGATTTAAAGTTTCATATTATTAGTATTAATAAAATCACATAAAATATACACAAAAGGAGTACTGGTATATGTTAAAAGAGAATTAAAATCTATAGGTCGAGGAATATAAGGAGGAAGGTAATCATAAAGGGAGGAGGATAATTTGGGACAGTTGAAAAAAATATGGTTTGTGGAACCTTCATCTAAGCCACATTCACACAATGAGCTATCCCTTACTCTGATTTTTGCCAGATGTGCATGTGTACAGGCGTGTCCAATTCTTAATCTACAAATGATTGAAGTTGCATGTTTATTTGCTTTGTTAAATTTAAAGAACCAAGGCTTGGGAGGAATAACCTCTTGGATGGCAGCATAGTGCTTACCTTTAACTTTTTTGGAAACTTCCCATAATTTATTCCAATTTTCATTCAGTTTCCTTTTAGCTAGCAAAATTAGGTCATGTGAGTAAATTAAATTTTGTAGAATGCCATTAGCAATTGCATTTTTAGCGAGTACATCAGCTGTTTCGTTACCATGGATACCACTGTGGCCTGGAATCCAGGCCACTGAAACATGGATTCCTTTAAGATGGCATCTGAATAGGGTATTTTTTATTTTAAGAATTAGTGGAATCTTATGTTTGTTATGGAATTGATTGGACAAAATAGCTAACAAACAACTTTTTGAATCTGTGAAAATAACTGTTTTATTAAGATTATGTGACTCTACATATAACAAAGCTTCACTGATTGCAGTTGCTTCACCAGTAAAAGTGGAGGATAGTGAGGGGCATTTAAAGTTAAGAATGATTTTGAACTTAGGAATCCAAACAGCAGCTCCAGTATAGTCTTCATCAGAATGTTTTGAAGCGTCTGTGTACATGACAAGCCAATCTTTAAAGGTGTTTTCTATAATTTCTTTTAATTTCAAATTTGCCATTGGAGAATCCTTTTCTATACCTAGATCTAGATGAATGTCGGGTTGGTAAACAATAGCCTCGTAAGGAACATCAAAGAGTGGATTTATTTTGCATTGAAAGATTGGGTAAGGAAGCTGAAGAAAAATTACAAAACATTTAAACAAGCAGGGAGAGTCCTTATGGGTCCAGTATCGGTCAGATGAGATATACTCTGAAAGAAGGTGCAATTTAGGAATTAGGGGATGATCTGAAAGTTGGCAGATCTTAAATAAGAATCTGTCTGAAAGGTATTGCCTTCTTAATCTTAAAGGAGGATCTACGCACTCAACCTGAAGAACATTTATTGGTGAGGATTTCATTGCCCCTGTAATAATGCGAAGGCATTTCGATTGAATTTTGTCCATTACTTTAAGGGATGATTTATTGCAAGGCTCCAACAGAAAACATCCATAGTCAAGGTGGCTTCGTATTAAAGCATTGTACAGTAATTTCTGAGAAAAAGGATGGGACCCCCACCAAACACCTGACAAAGACCGAAGAATATTTATGTTTTTTTCGCATTTTTGTGTTATATATTCAATGTATGGACCGAAGGCCAATTTCGAATCAAGGATAACTCCCAAAAAATTTAACATTGCCTCTAACTGGAATAGGTTGCTTATCATATACAACAGATATATCGGGAACTCGCCTTTGGCGGGAAAAGATCACCACACTACTCTTGGCCACAGATAAAGAGAGGCCATGATTAGTTAACCATTCTTGTAAATAATCCATGGATGAGTTTAGACTGGAACATGCCACTGTGAAGTTGTTTGAGGAGATGTATAGAGCTAAATCGTCTGCATATTGAAGAACATTACAAAAAGAATTTACTGAAAGTTCTAAATCGTGAGTATATATAGAATAAAGGAGAGGACTAAGAACTGAGCCTTGTGGAAGTCCTTTCCATATAGTTTTTGGGGGAAGCAGGAGATTTTTAACATTTATAGATATTGATCTAGAAGAGAGAAAGTTAGAGACGTAATTGACTATCCTCACTGGAATGCTCAGATTAAGCATTTTCTGCCTGAGCACAGGAAGAAGTACATTATCATATGCAGAAGAAATATCCAAGAAAACTCCTATGAGAAATTCATGTTTTGAGAAGGCAATATGAATATCTGTGACCAAGGTACTTAGGCTATCCATGGTACTTAAACCTTTTCGGAAACCGAATTGGCTTTTAGGTAAGAGATTATTCCTTTCCAAAAACCACTCCAAGCGATTTTTTATTAAATGTTCCAAGATTTTTGCCAAAGTACAAGATAGGGCAATAGGTCGGTAACTGGAAGGGTCATTGCTAGACTTACCTGGTTTGAGAATGGGCAAAATAATTTGGGTTTTCCATTCAGCAGGAGGATCACCAGTAATATAAATAAAATTTAAAATGGATAGTAAGACAGTTTTAGTGTTCTCACTACTATTAATTATAAACGAATAAGGAATCCCATCAATACCTGGTGAGGAGTCTTTAAGGCCATTGAGTACAGTAAACAATTCCTGAGAAGAAAAGGGGGAATCAAATTTATCATTTGTTTTTAAAAAAAGCAGAATTAAAAACTAGGCATTCATCATAAGATGGGACTGTTTGTGGTGCAAGTTTATTAGAGAATTCATCTATCCACGGGGAAGGATCATTAGAAATTATATTTTCACTAGAAACTGCACAGCAATATTTTTTAACATTTCTCCAGACCAAAGATGGGGGAGTCCTAGGTGACAGTGACTCACAGAATTTAAACCAACCAGTTCGCTTTTTGTCTGACAGTAATTTTAAGGTTTCTGCAGCAATTTTTTTATAAGAGATATAATTCTCTGCAGTCATAGAACGGGAGTATATTAATTCAGCCTCTTTTCTTCTCCTACAAGCTGCTGAACAATCTTGGTCCCACCAAGGAGGGGAGGGATAATTATTTTTGAAAGGTTTTTTTAAGGGGATTGACTTATTAGCAGCAGAAATAATTGCATTTCTGAACTCTATATATACAGTAGCAATATTATCATTGTTAATTGGGGGAAGAGTTGAAACCTCTTGTTCCAAGACTTTAGAATATAATTGCCAATTAGCTTTGGATAGATTATACTTTAGTCTTGGGCAAAATGTAAAATTTATTCTAGGTGAAGTAGGAGGAGTGATGAATATAGGAAAATGGTCACTGCCATAGCTAGAAGGTAATATTTGAAGGCACAAAAGAAGGGAAGCAATATCTGGAGAGCAGAGAGTTAGGTCAACGGCACTTCTAACATTTTGTAATGGGGATACTCGACGGGTAGGAGACCCATCATTTAGAATACAGAGATTAAAATTATCAATAAGATCTAAAAATAAGGGAGCCAGTGAATCACACAGATGGGAGCCCCAAACAGTATGATGCATATTAAAATCTCCCAAAATAACCATAGGAAGAGACAGAGAAGAGATAAGTGTTGCAAGTTCTGTTAAAACATTTACATCAGGATTAGGAATGTAAACAGAGAGAATAGAGACATCAAGGGCCTTAATAGCAACAGCATTTACTGCTGGACTATGAGAAGGGAGAGGAATTTGTGAAAATGTAACAGTTCTTGAAATTAAAATAGAGGTGCCAGCACGACCATCACTCCTATCATCCCAGAGGCATGCATAGCCTGAAACCCTAAAATGAGATTCAGGCCTAAGCCATGTCTCCTGGATGGCAAGAATGAAGGGATGAAATTTGTTAATGAGGTAAATGAGTTCATTTTTTTTATTTCTAATACTCCGACAATTCCATTGAAGAATTGGCGGGACTGCGAATGTTACGGGCTAAGGAGGAAAGCTGAGTAAGTTTTTGGTGTAAGCTGAGAGGAAGTTCCGTGTCACTAAAACGGGAGATCATGTTAATTAGAATTGATATCATAAGTTCGCAGAAATTATCATTACTAGAGGAGTTGTTTTCATTTCCCAGTAGAGCACACCCATTAGGAAGGGAAGAATTAGGATTCTCAACAATTGCTTGATGGGCTGCCATATCATATCCAGAATTTAATGGTGGGCTGCGGGTACGTTGAGGGATAAAAATTGTTTTTTTATATGATGCAGTTTGTGAGAGCTGAGCCGAAGGGGTTGAAAGACTGTCAGTTATAGTATAAGGGGTCTGTTGAGAACAATTACGAGGCTGGATTCTTGTTGTATCAGCAAAGGATCTTTTTGTCTGAGGGAATCTAGCTGAAGCTTCTAAATATGAAATATTTTCTTGTGACATAACAAGTTTAATAGATTTTTGCCTTAGATGTTCAGGACATGTAGGGTCTTTTGCGGTGTGGGGACCAGAGCAGAATAGGCAAGTAGGAGTTTGTCGAGTACAAGATAAACCTTCATGATTCTGTGCACATACAAAGCAGCGAGGAGATGATCGGCACTGGGAAGTAACATGGCCATATCTACAGCATTTATGACACTGAATTAGTGGCAAAACATATTTTTCCACTGGCATTGAGGTGTAAAAACAGTAAATATGGGGAGGAAGTTTTTGTCCAGAAAAAGTTAGAACAACCGTCTGAGTTGGAACCCATGAAACGCTATTGCTGTCACTCACTGATCGTCTATTAAGTCGCCGTGCTTTAATTATAGAACCGTATCCAGAGGGAATTTCTATAGCTGCTATTAATTCTTCTAGTGTCCACTCTATGGGAACTTGTCTAACTAGCCCCATACGAGTGATACTATATGAGGGGATGGTTGCTTCATATTTAGAAATTTGGAGAGCTGGGTGATCGATAAAGGTGTTTGCATCTGCAGCTGATTTAAACTCCACGGATATTCTATTTCGTCCAACTTTTTTGACTCCATCATGGACTATATTTTTAATATTGTTATGATACAGAAAGTGGCCGAATTTAATTGGTTTAAGAGTTACTCCAGACAGCTGATCATTTGAGATTTTACTTACGTGAACTAGAAAAGGAGCGGCATCATCTTGAGAGTACTTAACTTTTTTATTAATAAAATCAGGATGGGTATATGAGGATTGTATTGAAGGAAACTGTTGATTTGGATCAGTAATAACTATTTTTTGTGGATGGGCAGACTCGTTACTTACTTGGGCACGTTTACGTTTAATTAATTCTACATTATCAATGTTAGTGGGTAAGGAAAAGGAATCATTGCGAACCCTTCCGGGATCGGGAGGTTCGTCCTCCATTATATTACTACAACAAACAATTACATAAAAACGGCACAACTACAAACACTTACTAATTTACAGATATTAAAACCTCCACCAAGACAGAAAAATTTACTATGGTAAATCAACAACACTTAATAAAACAATAAATTTTAAGCAAAAAAGGCACGACACTTGTATCTCTCACTTCCTCCGAAAAACCCCTACTCCAACAAAAAACCATAAAAATTTGTATGTCATGCAATTTGACACTAGACAGAGAGCACAGACGGTAGAATATGTGACACTAGTCTTACGTCCTTGTCGCACTTACACAAAGTTCTGTATGCTATCCACCTTTCACAGTAATATTGCATGTTTTCCATGTTTTACGCATTTTAGGTTATAATAGTTTTTATTTATTTTTTGAATAACAGTGCATTACTTTTTAATGTGTGTGGTATTCAGGGATTACAATCAGGGATTATAATCAGGGACCAAATCTCTACCAAATAAAACACCCTACTCCCCAAAATTTCTGCTAAACAATACTAAATCCAACCCCTAATATGTGCTTTTAACCAATATTAAATCAGTAAAACTACACTTGCCACAAACTCTTTAGTCAAAAGTACTTTTGAAACATTGTAACTTAACTTTCTCAAAAACTATGAATTTTAGAGTGCTGAAACTTAATACATGTTAGTTAAAAAAGTAAATCTTTCAAACTATAATCATTTGAAGTACTACAATTTGCGTGAAACTCCCATGTTATTTCTACATGTTGAATTAATCTGTAAACTAAACTTAATTATCAAAAGGACATGCCAAACAAAACCAGGAATCCAATTTAGTAAATACTTAAGATATTGCTTACACCATTTTAAATTGTAGTAGAATTAAGTAACATGTGACAATAAAAATTACTTTAAAAAATTAATAAATGGATAGAAAAATATTTAGTTAAGTTTATAAGATAACTTGTGCTTTGATAAATCCCACTTTTACAACTTAGCCAAAATATTTAGGCACATGACATAATGCGGTTTTGGCTCCCGCATGCCACCTCTATCCCTACACTTCCCCTGGTCCTACACCAATCACCGTTACATTTTCCCTCCCTAGTTCCTAATAACATCTTGGATGTCATGCGACTAATTACTATGGTAGAATGTAATGATTTCTTATATTTATGTAAACACTACACATTGATTGAAAATATTTTTACAGATTTTACTGTTTAATTTATATGATTTTTAATTCATGACATTTAGGGTGATAAAGTAGTTTTAAATCAACAGGTTGTAGGTTTTAGAGATATTTAAAAATTATTTATAAATGTAAAACTTAGACTTTCAACCTGTGATACTGTGTAAATTATACAGAGCAAAATAATAGTGGTGTGACAGGAATCACATAAAAAGCATTTTAAAATTCGCAGCTGGACATAAGTCTTACAAACAATGCACCAACTTGCCAAACTGGCATATTCTTTGGAATAATTGCCCAACATCTTCCTTGGATGGATTTTCCAATAATTTTACTCCAAAGAATTTATTATATATATATAAATTGTATGAAAAAAATAAATTCCTTGCAGCCAATAGTCAATCAGCTAATTGCATAAAAATTTAACAAATTTTAGCAAAGTTATACTAATCAAAGATATAAGTAAAATCAGCGCATAGACATAATAACGTTCTTTTCCATAGCCTTTTAACTTTACACATTCACCACCGATACATGGGAATAATAACTATGAGCCATAATATTATGATGATAATGAATACCTTACGTAAACAAATTACGCGCCTATTTGATAATAATAAATTAATTAAAAGTCCAAGAAATGATACAGTCCTAGGTCATACTCATTAAAAATTCAGTCAGTGAAAGTGAAAGCTATGTAGTAATGGAATGTCATGATTTCATGGTGTAATCATGTAAAAGACCAAACAAAATAAACACAACAAACTGTAATAACTTACATCATTTTTGTTACGCTGTGAAGGCACACACAGGTGTGCAAAAATATCTGGACACTTTATAGACCCATCTTAAAGCAATAAACAGCGAATGATAAATTAAATAATACGTCCATTAGCTGCGAAACATGGTGAGTAATAGACCATAGGTAATAGACTTATCTATGGTAATAGACCATCCATAGATAAGTAAATATGTATCAAGTAGGCATGTAATGTTACCAACCCGAATTTTAGAAAATGAGTAGATTATGTGCCAGATGTTAGTACCTCAATTTAGAAGATTTTTTAAGATTAAAAATGCATGACTGCTCTTAAAATGTTTATTTTTGAAAGCCATACATATTTTTATTGAAAATTTCTAAATGTTCCGCGCCGGGCTGCTCGTTGTTTGCTATGAATCTTTTAGAACGCTACAATCCCTCTAGAGTCTCCGTGCAAATTCTATTTCTCTGGAAGGTTTTCATATTATTAATCAATCTCTCAACGTTGGCGCTACTATGTGGAAGTGCGAGTAATTTTCTCACGAATTCGCATAGCAGGGGAAACATTGGAGACTGGTCTTCTTTTTAATGGATGAAACATGCTTCCAGATTTCTTCAGGTATAGGATCCACATTTTTTTCTGTGAAATGAAATGTCGTGTTTCTCCACTCTCGGTCCAATTCATTCATGTGACAAGAGTGGACAACATTAATAATTAATTATGTTTAAATTGCCTGGAAACCGAACTCCTAAATGAGCAATAGTTGTGACTGCATGTTTTTCAATGATATGTTTAGGATTCATAAATTTAAGACATTTTAATCTTTGCTTTTCATCAAAACAAAAACGCTGCTTTATTTGTTTTACACTCTCCATATAAAAGAGAATGCATTTTTCTTTAAACTGTACTATTTCTATTTCATTCATTCTAGCCACAAAGTATTGTTGCAATAACAGGGAAATGACATTGCCACCAAGGTATATTTCTTCAATTAGTACATGGTTTTGTTTATTTTCATATTCTAAATTCAAAATTTTGTTCTCTAAATCAATGTTAAGATCCTTGCTACTGTTTTTTTCATTTTCAGTCAGCTGCAATAATTCTGGTTTAATAAAACATTCTAATATAGTTTTGTATGTCGTAAAAATCCGTTCATATAACAAATAAAGTTTAGGACTTTCTGATTGCATTTCTTTATTAATGTCATGGAAATAGAGCAACACATAATTCAAAAAATTTAAGTATAGCTGACCTGTAATACAGGTTTTTTAAACCTACATCAGGCACCAGTCTCTTACAAGTTAGGTACCAGTCTGGCACTTTTGTAAACACTCAGCATTAAGAATACCTATTGTGAAGAGAGAATAAATGCATTCATTCATTCATTCATTCATAGCTCTGTTGAAGGAGACATGTTCTTCACATGGATCGACTGAGCTGCAAGTAGCCTGTCGTTAAAAACAGAACTTTAGAAGTATAACTTTAAAGCTAGAAGATATTCTAAAAGCCGTTTGACCACAAGAAGTAGAGACAGCCATCTTGTTGAGCTGTGCGTAGAAGTTTGTGGGGTTTTATATCCAGACAGGACTGGAATTCTTTATAGTCACCCAGACGTTTTGGGCTTCGTTTATAGCCTGGACTCTATGTATGCTGGACCGCTTGACGCATCGTCGCATGACTCACGAAACACATCGCCACGTCGTTCGTCGATATCAAAATAATTCAAAGTGGTGATATGTCAAACTAGTCAATAAAATAGGTAGTTTTTAGGTCTAGGGTGGTAGATAGGTAGACTGAAGTGAAAATTGGTAGATCTACCAAAAAGTTGGTAGATATGACATTACTGTAGGCATGTCATGCATCTGAGATCGATCAATCGAAGAATCGATTGATTGTGTCAAAAAGAGTTTTTTAGATAGATAGTACTGAATCGATCCAGTGAATCAATATTTCACCCTAGAAAATTGAGATCGAATGTTTTTCTGTTTTTATAAGACTATATAAAAGTATTTACAATTATGTAGTTGAATGTACCCAAACTCGCAAAAAACGACAGTTTTTCTTAATGGATTAAGGAAATAAAAAATATTTTATGTTTTTAATATGTACTTTGAACGAATCTGTAAGCAAATCAAAAAAAAGATCGATTTTTGAGAAAACAATCTTAAACCTCAATTTTTTTGTGAATTGATTCATCAGATTTCGATACGAATAGGTTCAAAAATTGATTGATTTCGGAAAGAATAAACATCCCTAGTAGCAAGCATTGGATGTAGCATGAAGGTCAGAGAACAGGAGAACGATCGCTAAGTGCTAAAGCATAGCCCACCTGTCTCTGAAAATTTGTAGAATATATAGCAGCGCTGCCGTCGCTAAGTAGTGTCTGCGAAGTAATATTTTGATAATTGACAAAAAGAAACATTAAAAATGATGAAATAATATAAAATAATAATAATAAATCAATAATAAGTAATAATTTATATTTGTAATAATTTAAAATATTTATAAAAATTAAAAAATATAATTTATTTATCATTAAATGATAATAATTTCGTTATTTTCTATATAGAAAGGTGATAGAGTGTTGTGATTGTTTGTCCCTTTCTCCGTGCCTGTTTTTTTGTTTAGCAAACTACACTTTGCTAAACAACTTTGACAGTTCGTAGCGATCTAAGGAGCTTACAAGTTGGTTTAAGTGAGAAAAAAGTGTTTTGTAAGGTTAAGATTGGTGAACCTTGTTCAGTTCAGTTCTACGAACAATTAAAAATTTTATCTAAATATGTTAAAAAGTAATAAATATTACTGTATAACCTAAAACTACGTTATCGTCCTTTCTCACTCGAGGCCACGCTAATCATAAGTCTATAGGTTTCTCTGTCTACGGTTCTCCTGTTCTTTTTTTATTGACTGACTTTACGGCTCTGGGTCCTAGCCCTTCTGAGCCTGTCTTTTCTTTCGGAATCTTCATTTAAAAAAAATTGAAAATGTGTGAAAATGTGTCCATCTGTAAATAGTAAATAATTTGACAAAAATATGCCATCGTGTGTACTTAGATATTGCACAAATAATTTAAGATATATCAGTTAAAACAAAGAAATTACTTTTCATCGGTTAATAACATACATAATCAATTATAAAGTATTATAGATTAATAATAAAACCAATTATTCCTAAGACGCCAACTCGTGTCATGGAATATAGATTATGAAATTAATTTGTTTAGATGCGACATTTCTGTGGGTACTTAAGTATGGAACGAATATATTATTATACATATTTTTTTTTAGAAACATATATAAGTTTTCGAAATTAGGCAAAATTTTTTATATTTAAATCTGCCCATTATTCTTTTATTTTATTTTTAGGTTTCCACATCAAAAAAAAGTGGAATAAATTCGTTCATTTTTAACTCTCGCACGCCCGGCATTTATGAACGACTCTTATTCTAATTTAAATAAATATATTTGTAATTTATATGTTATATTAATAAGTTTTGTTAAAAATACATTTAGTGTTTTTTTTATATTTGACATAGATACCTTTTAGAATATCGAGATAAAAATATCATTTAAATGTAATTGTGATTTAATATTATGTAATATTATATTAAATAAGCAAATATAATATACAAAATAAATGACAAATTTTAAAAATTGTTCTCGATATAATTTTCGATTTATTTAACAGATCATTCTACTTATGTTTATTCTATGTTTAAAAAACCAATCACGCGAACACAGAATAGCGCATATTTTTTGATTAAAATAGCTGTTCTAATACGTGAGTACATATTACCTCAATGATTGTGATCTAGATATTTCATACACACTACAAAGAGCAATGGAGGTTAGTCTCTAACGTCTTATTAGTCTTAACGTGGTTCTTATTGAAATTCTATAGCTTGTTAAATATTACCTATGTATTAATTGGTTATCTGTGTTGTAATGTAATTGTAAAGCGGAGTGAGTTTTAGCGGGAACTTGGCCGTCGACGGATACCCGCTCCTGTTTTGTCGCTTGAATAGGTTTGAAGTGGATTTTGATTCGTAAAAGTGATGCGATTTTGTGAATTAAGGGTCTTTACGTGTGAACTATTATAGAAAACGACGAAACAAGTGCTTTGATGTTGATATAAACCGCCTTATGAACTTGAGTGCCTGTCATCAACAACATTCCGCTGGGTTGAGCTGTCTTCAAAATCTCCCAAAAACTTCACAATGTGACACATCAGCATATTGTGAAGAAAAATATACGAAAAGAAGATTCTGAAAGAAATGATAAGCTAAGAAAGGCTAGAAGCCAGAGCCGTAAAGCCAGTTAATAAAAAAAAGTAAAGCGGAGGGATTGATCTTCCTTTTTACTGGCGGGAGGAAGAAGCGCGTATTTAAATTAAAATTACAAAAGTCTAATTTTAGTTTCAATTTCAGAAAGAAAATAAACTTATTATTATACGAAATAAATAGAAATGCCGTCTTATAGTGACGGCATCAATAAAGGCATGGATCACGACGCGGGTGGGAAAAGAAACCCGCCAAAATATATTCAAGACCAGCAGCAGTAATATGATGATTTTTATAAGCCATATTAATTAAATTATAAAAGAGTTTTCCCTAAGTTAATGGGAATGGGTGAATACACTGTTTTTATTGAGAGTCGTAAAGAAGGAGTTAAATTAGGCAATGCGAGTCAATTAATTTTGGCGGAAATTTTCAAAAACGAAATCATAGGAGTCACTAATATAAGAAGAATAAACGCTTCTAAAGTAGCCAACGACTTTTTGAAAAATAAAAGCTTCCTAGAAAAGTATGATTACAAGGCATTGCTGGTATAGCAAGAGCGGTAGAAACAATCGGAGTACTCAGGTATGTTCTCATCAGCATAAGTAATTAAGAGCTGTTTAAAAACCTATCATCGAAATATAAGGTCGTCGCAGTGCGTCGTTTCACAAAAAGAAAGTTAATGGATAGATCAAACCGTTCAGTTTTAAATCACGGAGCGACAATTTGTAAATCAGTGCAACGGTGTTCAATTTGTGCAGATGAACATCGGTACATGGAATGTAAGGAAAATGCGGTAATTAAATGCATAAACTGTAGTGGCCCTCATGTCGACATTTCTAGAGATTGTCCAATTAAAAAAATTTGATGGAAAATATAATAGGTCTACTTATGCTAAAGTCTTACAAACAAAACAAACTCAAAATTTATTTAACAATTGTAACGCAAATTTCCCTTCAATACCTACAAAAAAAACAATGTATTCAAAAACAGTAGATCAATCACAAGTTACTTAAATCTAATGACACTTCTAAAGTATACAAATCAAAGACGGAAACTACCCAAACTACTACTACAACTAATGATAATAATAATAACACTCTTATTCTCCAAATTATAGCAAATGACAATATTTTGAAAGCAATTATTGTAACATTGGTGGCCATGGGTAACTCAGGCTGTAAATCGACTACATCAAGTATGAAAGAAATGCTTATTGCTAATCTGAAAAGCAATTAATAAACAATTTATTCGAATTTCACAATTTAATATGCAATCTGTTAATAATAAAAAGTCTTTGCTTATTAATTATCTAGTTGAGAATGGTATAGATATTTGCCTGTTAAATAAAACTTGGCTGCGAGAGAATAGAACTAGCAACATTCCAAACTATAATTTCATTAATTGGAATGGAAAAAATGGACGTGGAGGAGTAGCAATATTAACTAAAAATAGTTTCAAATATTTTGTAGTCCCCACAATGTTCTATGATTATATACAGTCGGTAGCTATAACAATTACTACAGGTCTAAGTAATATATCCATTTTATGTGTCTATGCCGCACCTAGTGGAGGGCGCTTTAAGATTAGAAGATTAAAACAAATTATTTACAGTCTACCTGCGCCACTGTTGCTCTCAGGTGACTTAAATGCTCATCATGATGCTTTTGGATATCTCACAACAAAAACAAGAGGCACTGATATCTATAATATATTGGACGAATGTGATCTTTGCATATTAAATAATGGATCTCCAACTACAGTAGGAAGCATTCATTTTTTTAATTTATTTAGGACAACCAACAAGACGTACACGAACACAATGTAAATACTACAAATCACAAGAAGGTTTATATCTAAGTGTCGTCCTAATTAAAGGTTGCCACGGCATGCAATGTGGACAACGAATATGTT